AAGAGGATTTTAGTTTGTATTATTTTATTTCCTATAAGTGATGAACATAAGTACAGAGAGTTGTCCTATGATTATACTATCATGTGTTAGTGAGCCTCTGCACTTATTTTCAATCTCCCAGTGAAATAAACACTAATAATTATGCTTTATATATAGTATTTATATATATATATATATTTGTTAGACGAAAAAAAATTTTATAATTTTAGGATAAAGTCAATAGTTGACAATTATTTTTTATTTGTAAAAGATATATTTTACATGCTTAAGATTATTAACTACAGTTAGATACTGATATTAATTACGTAATTTATTGGAGAAGGCTAAAAATTTTTCATATAAAGTATATCTCTTTAGTAAATAGAAATTATGTAATTAATGACAGTGAATTTATTACAAACAATCATTATTTTTTTTCATTTCACTAGTTTCTTGCCTAAATTCTTGAATAATTTTGATAACATCAACTACATTTTCTGCAGTAAGTTCTTTGCCTTTATTCTTAGCCAGCAATCGTGCAGCATGAAGAATATTACGAATTTCACGGCCATTTAAATCGTAATCAGAAAAGTCATCAGCTTTGAGTGGTAAACTGGCACGTTTGATGAATTTTGACCATATTTGGCGCCTTTCACTCGGTCCAAGTTTAGGATAATGAAGAAACATGTTAACTCGTGAGCATACAGCATCATCAAAAGTTATTACTCGATTTGTTGTTAAGAAAATGACACCTGAAGAAAAGATTTAGCGGTGATAAAATCAGTCAATTTTCTAGATATACTTATAAATAACAAATATTAAAATGATAAACATAACAGAAAAGTTTGATACCTTGATAATACTCTAGTAAACGCAAGAATATTCCAACCATTGTATTGCGAATTAGGTCAATTGTGGTACGTTTTTCGAGGTAAATATCAGCTTCGTCAAGTAAAATGACAGCCTTCCATGTATAAGCGATATCTAGAATCTTAACTAATTCTCGTTCTAGCCTATTAAAGAAAAGAATTAAGATAATCATTAGTACAATTATAGTTTTACATTAAAATATATATATAAAATATATATAGTACATACGATTCGGGAGTCGACCCAAGTTCGCGTACTGTGAGTATCCATAATGGCAATTTTAGATATTCAGCTACACTTTGAGCTGTCAAAGTTTTTCCGGTACCAGGTGGTCCATAGCATAAAAAGATACAGCCATTACCCTTATTTGTAATAGGATCTAAGGATTTCTCTGGTAAATGTATACCATTTGCCAGGCCGTTGCAATTAGTCAAGTGGGCTGGATCACGATATTGACTCACTAACCCTTCAAGCATATTTTTTTTATTTTGTGGCATTACAATATGTTCGAGAGCTTCGGAATCAAAAATAATATCTGAAAATTTTGAGACTTCGAATAGACCCCATTCTTTTAGTGTAAAACTAAATCCATATACTACGGCAGGAGCGAGGAAATAATTATCCTCTTGATTAATTTCACTATTTTGGAGATAAGTGTCTTTTTCTTTGAGCATTTTAACATCACACTTATTTGGTGGTTTGGCATCACCCATTTGATAATCGGGATTCATAGTCGAAAAACTTTGGATATCAATCATAACACGGCCATCAGCTCTAATTTTCTCAATCCACATATTTCGAATGCGCAATAATGGACCTTCATAATTCATATATTGATTTCCTTGGGTAAGTTTAAAGTATTTTTTTCCATTTGCAATTATGCTTTCTTTGAGAAATTCTTCTGATGTTGAAAGTTTAGATGGGACAACAGGTAAATCAGAGAAGCTCACATCGCCATCGAATTGTTCGATTTCCCGCACTATTTGGCAACGTTTAAATCCGATGCCGTCATATTTTATCACATTCATTGATATGATAAATACTTTTTTATTGCATTTTACTTTTTCTTGTACAGAGGCAATGATACCTCCAACCTGCTGACCAGACAAATCACATCGACTACATACCAGACAAATGATTGGTAAATTACAAATAGAATATTTAAAAACATGATTTATACTTGAAATTAATACTTACTACCATACATCCAATTTTTCAGTATAAAATACCCATAACATGTCATATGAAACTTTTTTATGTGCAATCATTTTTTCACGAGCTTTTATTGTTTGTTTAAATTCTTGTTCAAGAAATCGAATCAACCGTTTTAGTTGGACAACGCTCTCCAAATCAGTTATTTTACCTAGAATATTAAATTTATTTATTCAATGCCGTTTTAAAATCATTCCAACAACATGTAACAACATGTAACAACATGGAACTAACTTACTAGTAATATCTTTAAGTTTCTCCATTACATGAAATAAATCTTGAGCCCCCACTGAAATTTTGTGGTTATCATCATCAATGTTTTCAAAAGGTTTTTTATTTGGAAGGATATCTCTCAAGATATCTATCAACTGCGAGGAACTCACTTCAACATACGGTTTGCCACCGCGTGGATATACGACAACAAAGGGATTGATGTTAATGCTCTCAATCTTTACCCTGCGTTCCATTCTGTCATAATAATCATCGTACCATTCATCAAAGCATGGCCACTTCCAGTCATCTTTATCCATGACTAGAGTAGTCACCGATTTTTCAATAAGAACATTATTGTCCATATTTTTAAATAAGAAGACGATGATATAAAAAAGATTTTGAGAGAAAAATGAGCGATATTGAAAAAGATTTTGAAAGATAATAAAATTCGTAAAAAGGATCATACCTTTATATAAGAAAATTTATGGCAAACATTTTCCTGCTATCATTAAAAAATAAGACTGCGCAAGCTGCTAAGCCTATACGTAAAAGATATACAGTACTTTTATTGTACGTATGTACGTACGTATCTACGTATATCACATGTAAGATTTCCATAATTGAAACAGTAAGCAATCAAGAACATGATTTACAGGTTTTTTATTGACGTCAATAATGAATAATAGCAATAAGGACTAAAAAATAAATGACAGCGATAGGAAAAAGATCTCCAAGTTTTTTAGATTTTAATTCTATAAACGGGAATCAAGGAATAACGATAACGATAAATGCAATGCATTTCGAATAGAGTAATTCTAATCGGAACAATCTATCCTTGCTTATGAAAGTTTATAATCGGAACAATAAATCCAGTTAGAAAATCTACAGTACATCAAATACTAAATTAAGAATGAGCAGCCAAGGGAATCTGAATAAAGCTAAAAACAACTAGGGTTAACAAATTGTTATACTTTCAATTTTCAGATGCAGACTGCGCAGTCTATGCATAGCAACGGGTACTACGCAAGCTAACTTTAATTTAACTCGTACAGCGACACCTAAAAATTTCCGCAATTCTATTACGTTATATTTTTTTTCATTATTCAAATAAACACGATAATGAAATATTTACTTAATTACAAAGCATCATCAAATTATCAAAAATCTTTCGGTAACAGCATTAATCGGAGTACAGCGGAATGGGGTCTGCATGAATTAGAAAAATTATATTAAATCATGATGATTTACTGCGCTACTGCGCAGCTGCGCGTGTGCCATGACAAGCCTCACAGAATAATGCAGTTAATTCAAAACTTTAGACAATATTAACATTGTTCGAAAAAATGTTTAAACGCTGACATTTTACTTTAGTTATTCTTACATTTATTTAAACTCTTTCGTATTTACAATCGCCAAGATCAACTTGCGACTTGATTGACTTCAAGTTCATAATAGCATATATTTATTCATTGTATTATTTTAATTGGACATTTCGC